ATGAATTCTCTGTTCAGCCTTGGAGAGATAGTAAGAACTAGTGTGTTAGTCATTGCTGCGACAAAATACCTGACATTGACAATTAGAAAAAGAAAAAAGGAAACATTTATTTTGCCTCACAGTTCAGAGGCTTCAGTTAATAATGGAGTCAGCTGACTCCATTATTTCTCAGCTGGGGTGAGGCAGAATGTCACAGCAGAAAGGTGTGGAATAGCAAAACTGCTCACCTCATGGTGGCCAGGAAGCACATGGTGAGAGAGGAAGGGTCCAGGGACAAGATTCACTCTTCAAAGGCACATGCCCAGTTGCCTGCTTCTCCCAACTAGGTACAATTTCCACCGCTTCTCAATAATGTACTGCAATTTTGAATCCATCAATAGATTAATCCATTTATTATGTCAAAGGCTTCATGATACAATAACTTCCCCAAAACCAGACTGTAGGGCGTGTGCAGAAATAGCACCAGTGAGTGCCCTTGCATTGACCTTTCACCATTTCCCCTACTTAAGAGCTCATGAATATTACTTACACCTCACGTGTACAACTAAGCACCTGGGAATCTCCATAAAAGCATGTGCAGAATGCCCCATGCTGCATAACAAGACCTTGTCAATCAAACCTGTCAATCACACCAGCCCCTCCTGTGCAGATGACCCAAATTCTTCCAGCCATTCGCCCTTACAACCTATGAATTGCCCATTGAACAAACATCTGTGCCATCTGGCCAGAGCCACCGCTCTTTCCACAGAGCCTACACTTTCCCTTTCGATAAAGCATGGCTACTGCTTTGCAATCTGTGTCTATGTCCAGGGCTTCATTTTGAGACACAAGAACCTGAGATCTCAGCCATAGTCTTCTGAGACCACCTCCAGTAACCAATTCCAAAGGTTTATGAGCCACATGGTAAGGTGGCTCGATTTTCTGTGTTAGTCAGTCTTTTTTGGTTGTTGTGACAAAATACCTGAAGTAAACAACTTAAAGATTGAAAATTTTATTTTGGTTCACAGTTCAGAGGTTTTAGTCCATGGCTTCATTGCTTTGGGCCTGAAGTGATACAGAACATAATGGTGGTGGGAGAATGTACTAGAACAGACTGCTCACACCATGGTGACCAGGAACCAGGGCACACCACAATGACCTATGTCCTCACTAGGCCCCTCTTCTTAATTTCCACCGCCTCTCAAAAAATCCCATCCAATTTTGAATCCACCAATGAATCAATCAAAATTACATGGAAAACCTCATGATCCAATTACTGCCCCAAAGCTCTACCTCATTGGAGACCAAGCCTTCAACACAGGAGACTTTTGGGAGGGGCTTCATATCCACACCACAACAACTAGGTTCTGAAAAGTCCTGCAGCAAGGACACCCCTGTCCACAGGTTTGGCTGTGTGTCTCCATATCTCATGGACAAGGGAAGCACTGTCACCTTTAGTGCCCATTAGGAGAGGGCCAGTACACTTGGAGAGCCCTGTAGGGTAAGAGAGCCCCGTCCACACTCCAGGGCTACCTTGTGCTCCAGGACTGCTAATGGCCCTTGGATACTGTCGCTGTGAAAGAAGTGAGTGTCTGAATCCTGGCTCCCAACTGGACCAGGCAGGTTGCCCTGGTGTATGTGACTGTGAACAGACCAGTGCTCAGGGTCCAGCCCAGGTCACAGCCACTTTCTACCCTTACCCAGCCTTTACTTGAAGGTTCCAGGGGATGTAGAGAGAGGGGAACATAGAGGAAGCCAGAGGGGGCTTGGGTGCAAATGTGGCCAGCTCTTCTGGACCCTAGAGCAGGGAGGCAAAGAGTAAGCCTGACTTACTGAGTACAATGGCCAGAGGTCAGCAGGTCACTGTCAAGTGGCCTTTCTTCATTTTCCCAGATGGGAATCCAAAATGCAGGTGGAAGAATTGATCCTCTTTACTGAGCAACACCCAGATTTCACACTGCCTCACCAATGTTCTGTGTGGCTCAGCTCCCCTTCTAATCTGCCTCTTCCCAATCCCTCCCTTCCATCAGTCAAACATATCTGCATAAGCCCAGTGAGATGTTGGCGGTGTCTCTGAACCTAAGAAGTAGAAGATTAAGGCATAAAGCCCCTGTTCTGAGGCAGTGTGAGTGGGTATCACAGTCAGTCCCAATCTGGCATGGTGCCACAGCCACTGTCAAAGTGTCCTGCCAAGGCCAGCATTTTGCCATAGTTACCAGAAGAACTAGTGACCAGCCAGTCATATTTGCGCATCAAACAACCTGAGTCCCTGAAAAACCACAGTGCTAAGCTGATCTTTCTGGAGGGCAGGGAAGCCTGTTAACCCCAGGTCAGTACTAACCCAGCTGGGTACAATTTGCCCAAGACAGGACAATTTCAGTTCTAGAAATGAGCTGTTGTCAGGTTTAGGTGATGTCTAGATTAGCTCAAGTGTAAGGAAATAGTCAAAAAAGACCAAAATGCTAACAGCCTTGCCAGCCTGTGTCCTCAACACATGGCCATTAGCCACAATATAAGGAGCCACTCTAGGTGATGCCCACTAATAGCCTGTGCCAGTGACCAGATGAGTGGGCTGGCCTTGGCGTTTTGCAGCCTTCTATCTGGAATGAAGGCTTGTCTGCCTTGGTATGAACATCCCATTGCTGGCCTGTCAGTTCCAACTTTCCCACTGTCCCTGGATAGCCAGCCCTGACAGTACAGCAGAGCACCTGCCTGTCCCAGCTGAGGACCAGAAGTTGTGCCAAGAGAGTTGAACTGCCTTGGAGGGACTGGTCGGTCCTGAGCCCTGGTCAGTTCCCCAGAAGATCCTGCACAAGGGGGCAGAGTGGTTCTGCCTAACTGGTCCCTCAGTGCCCAGCACCTCCCTGTGAGCATTGTCTCTGGCTCTTACAGACTGTGCATAGCCCAGGTCCTCATCACAGGCCTCCTACTTTTCCCCTTGTACCTGGTGATGTAACCCACTTTGCTCTTTTTAATTTTTATTTTAAATCAGTTTCATCTCCTAAAGAAAGCTGATGGCTCTAAATTTCTTTTGCAGTACTGAGAAGCAAGTTTCTTGAGAGGTCACCAGAAAGGAATTCCAGGATGGCTTTCACCACCTTTTGTAAGCCCCTGCTGTAATGGGATATTAATTCTATAAGTCATATATGTTGAATATAAATGATGATGTTTTGGTATGGGGGTAATTGTGTGCTGCTTTGTGACTAAGATCATGAGATTCCTTTGGCTGTCATTCTTGAGGACAAAAGTTCTATAGTAATATGAAAAGGGGAAATGAGCAGCTTGGACAAACTGTAGCCAAAAGCTCTCTGTGTGTCTGCTAATGCCTCCTCTCCCTGTATCTCTCTCTGACTCTGTTCTCTGTCTCCCTGTCTGTCTTTATGTCATCTTCCCTGTCTCTCTGTCTCTGTCTCTGTCTCTCTCTCTCTTTCTCTCTCTGACTCTCTGTGTCTCTCCACTCTGTGCCTTTCTGTCTTTCTCCCTGGTTTCCCTGTCTCTACCTGTCTTTCTGTAGTACTATCTCTGCCTCTCTGTCTCTCTCTCTCTCTCTCTCTCTCTCTGACTCTCTCTGTCTGTCTCTCTGTCTTTCACCCTTTCTGTTTCTCTATGTCTCTGTGTCTCTCTCTGTGTATCACTGTCTCTCTCCTTGTCTCTGTCTCTCTCTGTCTGTGTCTGTCTCCCTGTCATTGTCTCTCTCCCTGTCTCTATCCCTGCCTTTCTCTCTGTCTTTCTCTATTTTTCTCTCCCTGTCTCTGTCTATGTCCGTCTCCCTGTCTCTGTCTGTCTGTCTATATGTGTCTGTCACTATATCTCTCTATCTTTCTTCCTGTCTCTGTCTCTCCCCCTGTCTCTTACCCTGCCTCTCTCTATCTCTCTCCCAGTCTCTCTCTCTCTCTCCTCTCTCACTGCCCCCCTTCCTTCTCAGTATAACACATCCTGGCTGAAATGAATGAGCACCTTGCATGGCAGTAAGCACATTCTCATAGGTGACATCGTCTGTCATTCTCTGGCTGTCCTCACAGGAACGTGTCCTTGTAATATTCACTGAAGGTCGTACACCTCCCAGATATTGCCCCTAAAGCAGACAGAGGAGGAGAGACAAGAGCTAAGCCAACTCCAGGAATAGTTTGCCAAGGCCCCAGCTTTTTAAAGTTGTATGACATTAATGTTTTAAAATGGTCTAGAGATATATTTACAAATGGAAAATTAAAAATAAGCACCAGTATCCCCAAGCTTAAGCAATTATTTATATAAAAATCCAAGCAATATGCTCTTATTTCATGATTTGGAAGTTGGCACACATGGGCCCAAGATGGTGCTGTTTAAGGTTAATCTGGGATCCCTATCCTCTGCTGAAAGTTTTAGCTGTAAGTCACATGCACCTCTGTTTTGTGGCATAAGTGGGGCTGCACAGGGGGAGGGAGGAGGGTCTGGAGTGACCTACAGACAGGCCTTGCTCCACCAGCTCCAGTGACACCTGCATGAGTGATGGTGATGTCTGATGGTCTGTGCACAAGTTGCAGTGAGGACACTTGGCTGACCTCGGTAGGTGCTGTTGAATATGATGGGACAAAGTAGGGGGCATTTTGTTTGCTAGCTTTCATCATCCCTCATCTGTGTGGGCAGTAAACATGACCTTTGCAATTTCCCAACACATGGCCATTTCCCAAAAGGAGGCAGACCTCAGGCCCTGTGAGCCCACTCCCCATGCATGCTGAGGGCTCCCTGCAGACTGGGCAAGGGCCCAGCCAGATAAAGCAGGGCCCTAAGTCCCCAGGGAACAGGGAGAAGAAGGTCACCACACCCTGAAAAATGGTTCTACCTACAGTGTTTTGTGGCACAGAACTTTGTTTTTACTCCCATATAGTGTTTGAAATTCTGCCTCTAAGTGTGCACACACATTGAGGGGTGGGCTCTTCAGAACAAGCTGAAACTGTGGTGTTTCTTCTCTCTCTAGTCTGTCAGAGCCACCAACACCAAGCAGCTGCCCCTGAGCATCTGAGACCCACTCCGGTCCTGAAATGAATCAGATGCTGGTCACTGAGTTCCTCATCCTGGGATTCTCAGAAACACCTCGCCTGCGAGGGCTTCTCTTCCTCGGCTTCCTCTGCCTCTACACTGCTGCCCTCTCTGGAAACCTGCTCATAGTGATGGCCATCAGCGCCAGCCCAGCCCTGCACACCTCCATGTACTTCTTCCTGGTGAACCTGGCTGCAGTGGACATCCTCTGCACCTCCACCATCCTGCCCAAGCTGCTGGACTGCATGGTGGCTGGGAGGACCATCTCCTATTGGGGCTGCATGGCCCAGCTCTTCTTCTTCACCTGGTCAATGGGAGCTGAGCTGTTGCTCTTCTCTGCCATGGCCTATGACCACTATGTGGCCATCTGCTGGCCACTGCACTACAGCACGCGGATGGACACTCGGGTTCGTGCGCTCCTGGCCATGGCTGTGTGGACCATCAGTCTGACCAACACCAGTGTGCACACTGGCCTCATGCTGCACCTGCCATTCTGTGGCTCCAACGTGGTCGAACACTTCTTCTGCGAGATCCCCCCACTTCTGAAGCTCTCCTGCGCCCCGACATGCCTGAACGAGGCCATGGCCTTCACTGTAGATGTGTTCCTGGCTGTGGGGAACTTCTCAGTGACAGTCCTCTCCTATTGCTTCATCGTGGCCAGTGTCCTGCATATCCGCTCGGCCGAGGGCAAGCGGCGTGCCTTCTCCACCTGCTTTGCCCACCTCGTGGTGGTCACCATGTACTACTCCACTGTCGTCTACACCTACATCCGCCCCTCGTCCAGCTACTCACTGCAAAAGGACAAAGTGGTGTCTGTCATCTACACGTCTGTGGCACCCACCCTGAACCCTGTCATCTACACTTTGAGGAACAAGGACGTGAAAGTCGCGCTCAGGAGACTTCTGTCTTGCAGCTGAGCCTGCATGGCACTTACTGCCATGCTCTGCTGTGTTGGGGGCCACAGGGGTTGGGTGGACACCACCTTGTTGGCTGCAGGACTGACTGAGGCCCTGCTCCTGAGAACACGTCCTGAGGAACCGGCAGGTACAGCAGTGAGCCACACCTCACTTCTGGGAACCCCATGATCCCCAGGCAGTATAGCCCTGTGACCTCCAGTCAGAGTAGCCTGTCTATAGGATCAAGAGGGATTCGTGTGACTGTGAACTTCACAGGGTAAATGAATTCCAAAAAACCTCAAATGTGGCACTGTCCTTTCCCCAACCCTCACTGCTGGGCTTTGGGTGGATACTGTTTTGTGGCTGTGGTCTCTGTTCATTTCTGGGGGGTGGTCTTTGGTCATACCTGGAATGTGGGCAGGGGGTCTGGGGAACTGAGAGGGGCTGGGGCTTTAAGAGGACAGGTCTTCCTATAAGCAAAGTCTTCAAGAATGGTCTGTTACCAATTTCTAGCACTTTTGTAGGAGGCATGATGGGGTATTTGTTTTGTTTTTTAATAGTTTCATTATATTTTTTAATTAATATGCATTAGCAACATGGGGGAGTTTTGTTGTGATAATTCCATGTATGCATACAGTTTATGCTGAACCAGTTCTCCCCTTCATTATGTTCCCACTACCCTCACTCCCCTCCCCCTTTTTCCAGGGTTCAGTGGGTTTCGTTATGCTGTCTTTGGGGAGATAGATGATAGATAGGTAAATAGATAGATAGATAGATGATAGATTGATAGATGGATAGATGATAGATGATAGATGATAGATAGATGACAGATAGATGGATAGATAGATAGATGATAGATAGATAGATGATAAATAGATGATAGATAGAGGTTCCACATACTTCCATCCTCCCCACCCCTCAGTATCCATTCCTTTTGCCCCCTCCCCTCCAATTTACCCACACATACACACATCCTTTTCACAAGCATGTCCCATTATTATCATCATCGCCATCCTTTTAGGTCTAGGTTGAAGGAGACATTCTGAAAAAGCTCTTGCCAAATCTACAATGTGAACATGCTGTGGGCACCATGTGATTGCATGAAGGGCTGCTCCCTCTGACCAGTGCACACCAACGATGCCAGCTGGCGGCCTCCTGATCAGACCTGGCCCTGGGTTCAGAAAGGTTTGGGTACTAGGGAGGCCCTAGAAGTGAGGCTTATAGGAAACCAAGTCCTCGCCATTTCTCTGAGAGACAACACAGCAGGGCTGGGTGCAGGGTGTGAGAGCCCATGTGGTTGGGAAGACAAAGCCACAAAGAGGAATCTGAGAGGGAATGGGGCTCTCAGCCCTTTAGGGCAGCTGATTTCTTGAACAAATTCTCACAAGATCCTGAGAACCCAGCTGCTATCCAGTCTCTCACTCCTGGCCTGGGGTGATCTGAAGATCCTGGGGCTTATCCTAGGACTGAACTGTGGGACCTGTTATCTTGTTTGAGCTCTCCATGTTGGACTATGTGTCCCTTCCATGTTGACTTGTCTGTCCTCTTTGCTGTTTGTCTATTCCTCCCCCCATATTAGATTATTTGTTCCCATCCATGTTGGTTTGTCTCTCCTCCATGTTAACGTGTCTGTCCCCTCCATGTTGACTTGTCTCTCTCCTCCATGTTGGCTTGCCTACCCCCACCCTGTGTTGGCTTGCTTGCTCCCTCCCCATGTTGGCTTGTCTCCTCCATGTCAGTTTTTCTGTGTCTCCTCAATATTGACTTCTCTTATTCTCCTTTGATGTTTTTGGCAGTACTGGGATTTGATCTCAGGGCTTTGTGCCTGCTAGCCAGAAGGTCTTTAGCCATACCAACAGCCGATATTGACTTTTCTTCCCCCAATCCTCTGCAGACTTTGGGTTCCTTGCTGGCAAGTGCAATGTCTGGCTCTTTTCTATCCCTGCACCATGCACATGGCAGGTACCCAGTAGGCATCAGTGAACGACCACAATGAATGAGGGAAACAATGACTATTTCCCCCAATTAGATCTTTAAGCAGAGTTCTGGAAAGGTCAGGCAGAGCCATTTTTGCAACACAGTTAGTAAAGGAACAGTGAGAATTCTCTGTTCATCTTGTTTGTTTCCATCAGTTGGCTATTGTGAATAGTGCCGCAATAAACATGGGTGTGCAGGTGCCTCTGGAGTAACCTGTGTCACAGTATTTTGGGTAGATCCCCAGGAGTGGGATTGCTGGATCAAATGGCAGGTCTGTGTTTAGATTTTAAAGAAGCCTCCAAGTTTTTTTCCAGAGTGGTTGCACTAGTTTGCATTCCCACCAGCAGTGTATGAGGGTTCTTTTTTCCCCACATCCTCACCAACATTGTTGGTGATGTTTTTGATGATGGCTATTCTAACAGGGGTGAGGTGGAATCTTAGTGTGGTTTTGATTTGCATTTCCTTTATTGCTAGAGATGGTGAGCATTTTTTCATGTGTTTTTTGCCCATGTCAATTTCTTCTTTTGAGAAAGTTCTATTTAGTTCAGTTGCCCATTTCTTAATTGTTTCATTGATTTTGGGAGAGTTTAGTTTTTTGAGTTCCCTGTATATTCTGATTATCAGTCCTTTGTCTGATATACAGCTGGAAAATATTGTCTCCCATTCTGTGGGTGGTCTCTTTGGTTTAGAGACCATTTCTTTTGTTGTGCAGAAGTCTTTTAATTTTATTAAGTCCCATTTGTCCATTCTTTCTCTTAGTTACTGGGATGCTGGGGTTCTATTGAGGAAGCCCTTGCCTATACCTATTAGTTCCAGAGTGTTTCCTGCTCCTTCCTGTATAACTTCAGAGTTTTGGGTCTGATATGAAGGTCCTTGACCCATTTTGAGTTGATACAGTACAGGGTGATAAACATGGATCTAGTTCAGGTTTTTGCAGGTGGATAACCACTTTTCCCAGCAACATTTGTTGAAGAGGCCATCCTTTCTCCATCATATGTTTTTGGAACCTTTGTCAAAGGTGGGTATAACTGTGTGGATTCATATCTGTGTCCTCATTCTGTTCCACTGGCCTTCATGTTTGTTTTTGTGCCATTACCAAGCTGTTTTTATTGCTATTGCTTTGTAATATAGTTTGAAGTTGGGTGTTGTGATACCTCCAGCATTGTTCTTTTTGCTGAGTATTGTCTTGGCTATTCATGGTCTCTTGTGTTTACAAATAAACTTTAGGATACATATTTCAATCTCTGTGATGAAAGTCATTGGGACTGATGGGAATTTCATTAAAGATGTAGATTGTTTTTGGTAATATAGCCATTTTTACTATGTTGATTCTACCAATCCATGAGCATGGGAGAGCTTTCCACATTCTGTAGTCTTCCTCGATCTCTTTCTTCAGGGGTTTGTAATTCTCCTTGTACAGGTCATCTACATCCTTTGTTAAGTTTACTCTAGGTATTTGATATTTTTTGAGGCTATTGTAAATGGAATTGTTTACATATATTCTTTCTCAGTTTGTTCAATATTGATGTATAGAAAAGCTAATGATTTTTGTAAGTTGATTTTGTATCCTGCCACCTTGCTATAGTTGTTTATGTTGTCTAAGAGTTTTTGGGTAGAGTTTTTTGGGTCTTCTTCTTGCCTAATTACTCTCACTAGAAGTTCCAGTACTATGTTGAATAGGAGTGGGGATAGTGGGCATCCTTGTCTCATTCCTGATTTTAGGAGAAATGGTTTCAGTTTTTCACCATTAAGTATGATGTTGGCTGTAGGTTTGTCATATATAGCCTTTACAATGTTGAGGTACATTCCTTCTATTCCTAGTTTTCTTAGAGCTTTTATCATGAAGTGGTGTTGGATCTTATCAAAGGCTTTTTTGGCATCTATTGAGATGATCAAGTGGTTTTTGTCTTTGCTTCTGTTAATGTGGATTATTACGTTTATTGATTTTCGTATGTTGAACCACAGCTGCATCCCTGGGATGAAGCCAACTTGGTCATGGTGAATAATCTTTCTGATGTGTTGTTGGATTCAGTTTGCCATTATTTTATTGAGGATTTTTGCGTCGATATTCATTAAGGAAATTGGCCTATCCTTCTTTTTGGAGGTGTCTTTGTCTGGTTTTGGGATGGGAGTAATATTGACTTCATAAAATGCGTTTGGCAGTTTTCCTTCCCTTTCTACTTCATGGAACAGTTTAAGGAGGGTTGGTATCAGTTCTTCTTTAAAGGTCTGATAGAATTCAGCAGTGACTCCATCAGGTCCTGGACTTTTCTTTTTTGTGAGACTCTTAATTGCTGCTTCAATTTCGTTTTGTGTTATACATCTGCTTCAGTTTTGGATTGTCATAAGTATCTAAAAATCTGTCCATTTCTTCAAATTTTTCAAATTTATTAGAGTATAGGTGTTCATCATAGTCTCTGATGATTTCCTGGATTTCCGTGGTGTTTGTTGTTATCTCCCCTTTGCATTTCTGATTTTACTGATTTGGGTTTTTTCTCTCCTCATTTTAGTCAGATTTGCCAGGGGTCTGTCAATCTTGCTTATTTTTTTTCAGAGAACCAGCTTTTTGTTTCATTGATTCTTTGTATTTTTTTTGTCTCTATTTCATTAATTTTGGCCCTTATTTTAATTATTTCTCTCCTGCTGCTTGTTTTGGGATATGCTGTTCTTGTTTTTCTAGGAGTTTGAGATGTAGCATTAGGTCATTGTTTGAGCTCTTTCTGTCATTTTAGTATATGTACTCATGGCTATAAACTTTCCTCTCAGGACTGCCTTTGCTGTGTTCCATAGGTTCTGGTAGGTCGTGTTTTCATTTTCATTAACTTCCAGGAACATTTTAGCTTCCTCTTTTATTTCAACAATGACCCATTGATCATTGAGCAATGTGTTGTTCAGCTTTCAATTGTTTGCATGTTTTCTACTGTTGTTTTTGTTATTGAGTTCTTGGTTTAATGCATTGTGATCAGATAGAATGCATGAGATTATTTCTATTTTCTTATATTTGCTGAGGCTTGCTTTATGCCCTAAGATATGATCAATTTTGG